TTCTGAAGAAGTGCCAGACCATTTCCCAAAGTGGCTGTACCATTTTACATGTCCACCAGTAGTAGCATATGAGAGTTCTAATTTCTGCACATCCTTGCCAACATTTACCATCAGTCTTTTTGGTTATAGGCAACTGCGTCTTAAATATATGTGCATCTAGTCCTCTTTTAGCCTTACGTAGATTCTCCTTCTAGAGTGTGACCTGCATCCCAAATCCTCAGCAGTTTCAGGATTCTGTGGTGTAAAGCATTGCATCTTAGCTTTTCTGCTGCTAGCACAGGGTTCAGTTTCTTGGGTCTATGGGGTCCTCATGGTGTGCAACTTGCCCCCCAACCCCACCAGATTCTGGGTCTTGGTCTTGGTCTGACTTCTCACAAGCTGTGAGACCTGGGGTCAAGTTATGAAACTCCTCTGAGCCTTAGTTTCCCCATCTTAAAACAGAAAAACATAATGAGTAAGAAGTGTCTGACATATGGGAGGTATTAACTAAATATTAGTTCTCTTACCTTCCCCAAACGTGGTAGATATTCAAAATGAGAAAGATTTAATTTCTTTCCTTTAGGAGTTCATCAGCTGGTAGTAGAGATAGACATAACTGGATAGATATAACTCTAATCTGCTGAGTTTCAATAACTATTGAGTACCTATAACATGCCATAAATGTACTAGTTGCTGAGGGTACAACATGACAAGTTTCCTGTTTTCAAATGGCTTTCTATCTGGTGTCATGAAAACCAGGAACTGGAACATGGGATAGATTGGGGAAAGTGCTGTCACACTGACACAAAGGGAGTGTAGGGGAAGGAGAGGTATATTATCACTGTAGGGTATCACACACTTGGTCCTCAAGTTGATTGGAACATCCTCACTTGAACACATGGTACCCTGAAATTGCGAGGCTCAAAGCTGTCAATCATCAATAGAATTCTCTTCAGTGTTCTCTGTCATGAAACCTCTGGCCAGTGTGGCTCTGTGCCAGATACCAAGGAAAGTAAAGAAAATAAATAAAAATCACATTTTGAAACAGGCAAACCGAAGACCGGGTACTCCATAGGTATTGAAACAAAAATGCCGAAATACAGCTGTGGAAGCCTAGAAAGCATGTGCCTATAGATATAAATCCCACATTGTTTTAAACTTGTTTTATATGTTAAGGTTATGTCCTCCCTGCAGACAAACTGCTGTCACAAGCAGGGATCAGGTTAGAGGTCTTTCATCTTAGCCAAATTCTTGCTTGTATAGGGGTGCAGCAGATGTGTAGGTAAGGTGGTGTCAGAGACAGATTCTGGAAAGTGGCAAGTTGCTGAGGGGACTGGATATTCTTTAGGGAGAATATCTTTATTTAAGAACACCACTTTTGAGAGCCCTTGGTGCTATTAAGATAGTCCAGGATGTACTTCCCTTGGGTCTACAGAGTGTGAGGAAAAAGTTTTGAGAATAGAATGCAATGTTGCACATCATGTCAGGCTTATTTATCTTTATCAAACCCGTCTGTCCGCTACTGTGGGCCGAAATGTAGTCTTTTCCCCTCTAAAATCTTCAGGCATTGCTCTCACTTTCTCTCTGTCTCTCAAAATAAGTAAACTTAAAAAAAAAAAAAAGAGCTGGTGCCTAGGTGGCTCAGTGGATTAAGCATCTGACTCTTGATTTTGGCTCAGGTCATGGTCTCAAGGTTCGTGGGATAGAGCCCTTGTCAGGCTCTGCACTGACAGCACGGAGCCTTCTTGGGATTCTTTCTCTCTTCTCTCTCTCTCTCTCCTTCCCTCCCCCCACCCCCTGTCTGCTTCTCCCTGGCTCATGCTCTCTCTCTAGCTCTCTCTTTTTCTCAAAATAAACTTAAAAAAAAACAACAACAAAGTGTTTAGGCATTAAGAATACTTGACCTCGTCCTCTCTCGTGGGGTTTGTGTAGCCTGATGTGGGTTGCCCATGCAGCCACAGAGCCATCAGTTCTAGCCTCTTTGTCTTTCTCAGTCCCCTAAATGCCTGGCTCCACCATCAGCTTGAATGGGCTGTTTGTTGGCTACACAGCTGGGGAAACATGGCAGAGGGCTTTGGGGGCCAACTATGCAAATGAACAATAGATAAGTGTTACCTGACCGAATTCACCTGGCTTTTAAGGATAGGAGAAGAGGATTCTAAGATCAACTGGTGAAAAGAGAGTAAAACAAAGTTAAACAAGTTCTTTTTCTCTCTCTTAGCACTTCTCAGGTCTCTCATAGTTCAAAAACCCTTATGAATTGCCAAGAAAGGAATATATTATGCAGTGTTTCCAAAATTGTTTTTTCCTCCAAAGAAAAAACGTTAAGAAGACTCATTTAAGCTGCCTCCCTGTGAGACCTTCCCTGATCATCCAAATGAGATGGGATCTGTGGTACTTGACTTGTACCCCTCAGGGGTCATGATTTTCTGTCTAGTTGTAGAGTTGAATGAGATAGTTGTTTGTCTTCTTTTAGTAGTCGCTGTAAGAATTCCTGATCCTTTTGGAATGAGGCTTAAAACAAGAAGCAGGAGATCCTCCTTGAGCCCTATTAGGGGTCACCTGGAAGGCCTTTGTTTTCTTGAACCCATAATGGGTTTGAGTATGTTAATTTGGAGACACAGCTAAACTGTTTTAGTAACAAAAATATGAGACACTTGAAGTTCCCAGGGAAATTTCAGGAAGGAGAGAGGAGTCAGTCAGACTAAGTGCTGCATGGGAAAAAGATCAGAGAAGAAAAAGAAAACAAACAAACAAACTAATGGTAGGCTTGCTGAAAAGAAGCTTTGGGGGAAGAACAGAACTGTCTAACGGGAAATTGTAAGCTGTTTGCTATCAGAGGTACAGCATAAACCACTCTTTTGTTTCCACTGTATGATCCTCAGTGATGCCTCCTTGGCTCCCAACGTCTGTATGTGAGTAGATTCTTCAGATGTGGCCCGGTGGAGGAGGGGCTGGAGCTGGCAGGGGAAGCTGACATCTAGGTGGCACCATTACCTGTATTCATGCCTTTTCAACTCCAGTAGGCTATAAACATATATTTATTGAATGGGTGAATGAATAAATAAATGCATGGATTTGTTTATCTGCAGAAGCAGCAGATAAGGGTTTCTCTTTAACTGAGACTAGACCAAATCTCTCAGCCATTAATATGATAGGATTACTTAGTAAAGCTGGTCCAGAGGAGCTTAATAGATATTTGTGAAACTAACCAGTCACCAGTGACTGAGAAAGGTGCTGTTCTCTTGGTTGTAAGCATGTTCTTCCATGTAGAAAGAACTAAAGCTTTAATCTTTTTTTCTTAATTTTTAAAATGTTTATTTTTGAGAGAGAGAGGGAGAGAGAGGTGGTGAGTGGGGGAGGGGCAGAGAGAGAGGGAGGCAGAATCCGAAGCAGGTTCCAGGCTCCAAGCTGTCAGCACAGAGCCTGATGCAGGGCTCGAACCCATGGCCTGTGAGATTATGACCTGAGCCAAAGTCTGACGCTTAACTGACCGAACCACACAGGTGCCCCTAAAGCTTCAATCTTTGACGTAAGAAGACTGCTTTAATTATGAAGACCTTGGCCTTCTAGATTCCAAGCAAGATCTCTTACCTGTTTTCTGAATAAAGAAATAATGGTAAAATACAGAGATATCACAGTTCTCCATTTTCTACTGGAAGTAATTGCTCTCTCACTAATGTTTTCATAACTTCACAACAAACTAGTGCTCTGAGGTCACCACATTGTATTAAATATGCCATGCCTCTTGGGTTTTTCTATAACATTTCAAGGTTCAAATACATCCAGGTCCTGCATTTCATGTGGGGCCTGAAAAAAATGATTGCAGAGGCTTTGTTTTCTCCCTCCTTGCCTTTCTTTCTTGAAAACTTGTCAGCTTCTTTAGGGAAGGGAACCATGTTCACTCATTTCTGAAGCCCCATTGCCTGGCAATCTTTGGTCCACAGTAAGTTCCAGATAAATGCTTTTGAACTGAACTGCATGAGGGAGATTGCTGAATGCTGGTGCAATAATGGTGACCAGCTCAAGAATAGATTTGGGATCCCTGGAAAGGCCTCATCTTGACACCTTTACTTGTCATCAGAAGTATCCTTTAAGTGCACAAGAAACCAGACCCACAACTGGCAGAACCATAAAGTAGGTCCTTTATCAGTGTGATAAGGAATCATATCACATCTGTCTTGGGGGGCTGGACTTAGATCTTTTGGTAGAGAGCTTGGCTGATGTATCTCTTTTGTTCCAGAGGGGCCCTACATTTAGTAATTCCCACAGCAAGGCTGTCTTTTGAAATGTATTTACTGGAAAACCATCTATTGTTCCCAGTTGTCTGATAGAAAGGGAGTGGGGAAGGGTTTGGTTGTCACTGCAGGAGCCATGCTGGGCTCCTGAGATGCCACATTTAGTGGAACACATGACCCCAGAGCCTGATATCTGAGAGGAAGGGCTTAAGACTCAGTTATGTGAAGATAACATAACTCTTTGGACAGCTGGTTATTCAGTCATCATTCAACAAAATTTATTTAGCCCCTGCTATTCTAGGCACAGGGGATTTGTTCATGAAACAAAAGAAAAAAGTTTCTGCTCCCAGGATGCACGATGATACACACACATAAATGAGGATGATATCAGAGAGTAATATTAAAGTAGGGTGGTGTGACAGGGAGTGGCTGGGTTGTGATCTGGAAAGGCTTCTCACAGGTGTCACCCTTCAGCTGAGGCCTTGATTAGAAGGAGTCTCATCAAGAGCAGCAGGAAGAACATTCTAGCTAGAGAGAACAATCAGTACAGGGACCACATAGCCTTTCTCAGACAGCGTGGCATGTTTTCTAGGAACAGAAGAACACGTGTTGTGGGCAAAGGGGATGGTGGAACCGGTAGGGGAGGGTGGAGCTGGTGGGGTTGCAGCAGCTGCATCCCAGGCTGGCCCTGGGCGTCTGGGCCTCACCAGGGCTAACACTGTGCCCTGTATGCCTGGGCCTCACCAGGGCTAACACTGTGCCTTTGCTTTGCTTTTCCTGCAGACGACTTTGCAGAGGAGGAGGAGGTGCAGTCCTTCGGTTATAAGCGGTTTGGTGAGTACTGACAAAGCTCTTCTTCTTTGTGCTTGATACGAGATATTGTGGTAGTGCCATTGCTGGCCCTGTAACACACATGGATGTGTGTGGTTCTGAGGCCCAGGTTTGACTGGAAGTCAAGTCTCCATGTAACAGGTGGATTATTTCTCCTAATACTGAGGGTAATGGAGCAGGAGCCGTGCCCAGGCACGGGAGGTGGTGGGATGCTTATGGGGGTTTGCTGAATATAAGCCAGACGGCTTAATAGGCACAAAATGATGGGCAAGGTAGATCTGTGACAGGATAGGAGCAAAAATACACATGATTTCTCTATGTTAATATTGAGAAAACATCTCACCCCTTTACTCAGGCCTTCTTTTCATAACTTAGTGTTTAAATAAGAGGAAGGCTTTCTCCAGGCACCCAGCCAGACACAGGTGCCCCATGGTGGCTGGATAGCAGCCCCCAGAGGTATCCATGTCCTGATCCCCTGGAACTTGAGTGTTACCTTATTTGGCAAAAGGAGCTTTGCAGATGTGATTAAGTTAAAGCTCTTGAGATGGGGAGGTTATCCTGGGTTACGTAGGTGGGCTCTAAATGCAATCAAAGTGTCCTTATGGGAGGGAGAGGGATATTTGACAACTGACAGGAGAAGGTGGTGTGCTCTGAAGGTGGAGGAAGGGGCCACGAGCCAAGGAATACAGGTGGTCACTAGGAGCTGAAAAAGGCAAGGAAATGGATTTTCTGGTCAGAGCCTCTGGAGGAAGCAGGGCCCTGCCAGCATCTTGATTCTAGCCAACTGGAGTGGATTTCAGACTTCTGGCTTCTCAAACTGTGAGAGAAGAGATCTGTGTTGTTTTAAGCCACCACGTTTGTGGAAATCTGTTACAGCAGCCATAAGGAACTAAAACACGCTCCTCTGCCTCCCAGGCTGCCGCACACAGTGCTCCTCTCTCTTTGACCGTGCTTCTTGTGCTTCGCAATTTGGTTTTGAACCGGCAGTGAATACTCAAATTTCCAAAGACCGTTCAGGGGAGCTAGGGTTTTTCTGTCCAGGATGTTTCTGTGCCTTGGCAAGAAGAAATGAAGAAGGATAGAGGAGAAAATAATGAGTGTGTGTGCGTGCATGCATGTGTGTGTGAGACAGAGAGAGAGACAGAGAGGAAGGGAAGAAGGGAGGGAGGATGGAAGACAGAGAGAATGTGAAAGAGAATAAATCTATTTCCTGTTGCCTAAAAAAAAAAATGTCCTGGCTGGACTTTGATTAAAGTTAACAGTCCCCAGCTGCTTTGGCTCCCTCATTGCTTTAACATTTTTCCTTCTGGATATGCACTTCTACATTTCTTTCTGTGAAAAAGTAGGGCTTTACAATGGGAATGCACTGGCATCAAGCCTATGGCTGCTCCATTCACATGCTGGCAGAGATGCTCAGTACTTTCTCCCCTCCTCCACACTGCTGTTCTTTGCACATTACATATTTTGGGACTGGTGCCCTGAGTTCTGCGCTGCCATGGTGGGCTCACTGAAGGTGGTAGCAGGAGTGAAGATGATCCAAGGAATTATAAAGGAAAGAAAAATAAACAGAAATGAAAATGTAGAAATAAAAGAAAAATCAAACTTGTAAAAATAACGCAAAATCAACATTGGCATGCCTGTCTGTTTTGGAAATCAGTAGCTTTCAGATCTTTCTTTGGACATTCGTAGAAATGCAAAGAACCATGAGAAAAGATTTCTTTAAAAAGAGTGACCTTGAGAGAAATTTTATTTAAAGCTTCATGACTATGTAACTAGCTTGATGGGTGGGGATTTGGTGAAAACACACAAAAATAATAAGTTGCTGAAATATTTAATTTGTGGTGGATCAGTTATGTGTGGAAATCATAGACTGATGACTCAGAGGAGGCATGATAACAACTTACCAATATTGGAGATCATGAGCAGAGAGGCATGGTGAGAGTGATAGCAAATGATCAGAGTAGACGATGGGGGTAGAATTAATGTGAGACATTTTAAAAAAGGCTATGAAAGAGACATATGTGAGAATTCTCAGATTTAGATTTTAGGCAAAGTGATGGATATCCAGCATAGGGGTAGAGTAGAGTTTTGGAGATGGAAAAGCCTTTAAGATGATTTAAGTCAACCTTTAATTTTAAAGATAAGGAAGGTGAGGCCCAGAGAGATTAAGTCTTTGCTCAAGCGAGTTAGATTGGGTTGGATGCTGGGTGTTCTGCACCATAAGCAGGCATAGTTTGGGGGAAGAGTTGGGCAATAGAGTTGAGGTGAATTCTGAACTTCCATGTCCTAGATGTGTCCGTGTAGTTCTAGAACCCTAAAGTGGGTGCTGTCCCCACCACGGAGCGTCATGACTTTTGCAGGGTCTAGGGCCTGGTTTTATTTAAGGTAAATGAGTGTTTAGTTTTTAAGAAATAGCCAAAACTAGTTGGTCACACTGAGTGCAAGAGAACCCAAGAACCTATTCCTTCAAGTATGGTGAAACTTGAACCATTAAAGGAAGACAAAGTTGGTGTAAGGTGGTGTGGATGAGAGGCATCCCAGAGACCAGACAGCCCTGTAGGCCCTCCCTTACTTACTCTTGTAACTTTAAACCAGTCATTGAAACCTCATGGGCCTCAGATGCTGCATCTTCCCAGTGAGCAGAGTTACACCTGCCAAAGGAAGTAAGTGTATGTCACAGGCTTGTGAAACTAAGAGAAAGTCCTTTGAAAGTGCAGCACTTAGCAATACCAAGGGTGCTGTTATCCTTCTCCTGAGGCTGTTTTCACTCTCTGGACATTTTAGTACAGTCACTGCCAAATATCAAAGGGTGACAGGTCTGAAACCTCATTCCTGAAGAGATGTAAAGGTGTGATTTATCTCTCAACATGGTAATGTTGGCTTTTATTTTTGAAAAGTAGATGGGGTAACATATAGGGTCTGTTGTCTAATTTTAGGTAGTCTTCTTTATGCAAATCCCAACCTGAATTTAGACTACACTTGAACCAGGGATTTGTGATTCAGGAGGCAACGGGGCCACTCATAGTTCTAGCAAATTTTATTTGGTGGCTTGTTTCCAAAGTTATTTGTATACAGTTATTCAGAAACACTTGCTACGTGTAATTGATGCAGTTTACATAATAATTGTGCTTTTTGAAGTTTCATTACAAAGTTACAGTAAAGTGCAAAATGGATGATCTTCTCCAGTAATCTAGTGTAAGATGGTATTGTTTTAGGACAGCCAGCCCTTGACTATTTGGGGATTCATTATTCTATTTTGGTTTTAAGCAGGTCTTCTGTTTTTCTTCAGTTGCTTTTTTAAAAAATGTTTTATTTATTTTTGAGAGAGAGAGAGAGAGAGAGCGCACTAGTGCATTGGGGAGGGGCAGAGAGAGAGAGGAACAGAGGATCTGAAGCAGGCTCTCCTGCTGAGAGTAGTAAGCCTGACGCGAGGCTTGAACTCAAGAATCAGGAGATCATGACCTCAGCAGAAGTTGGATGCTCAACCGACTGAGACACCCAGGCATCCCACTTTAGCCTCTTTTTATGTCACACTTGTTAGCCCCTTTCCCAAAGTTCTGGACAAGTGTCTGGGGAAGAGACAGAGTTAAATCTCATGGATTTGCCATTCGTTTGCTTCTATGACAGAAGCTTTAGTGAGGGGAAACTTCGAAAGGTTAATGAAGTAAGCATATCCAAGCTTTAATCAGGTTCGCAGGGTCAGCATTTCTTGGTCTCAGCATGCAGAGCTAATTAATTTGGGATGTAACTATAGTTACAGCTTGGCAGAGTTCACTCTCTGGAACACGAGGCACCTGTGAATTAATTTTTTACTTTCTATAGATAGAATACAACCTATACTACAATGATACCTTTCTACATATTTCTCAGTTACTATTTTCTTCAAAATATCACATGTGGCTCAAGTATATTTTATTATAGTTAGCAGAAAGGGAAGGAGAATCAGTTCATATGATAAAGGACAATATAAATTTATAAATTTTGGAACTTGTGATAAATTGATCCAAGAATGTCTTCTGAAACCTTCCAATTAGTCATATGATCAACATGAACGCATCCCAGGTTTTGTTTTCTTAAAATTTTCTTTACGAAAATGATGTGGAGTAGAAGGAATGAAGAATGTCATTTCAGTTCCAAGGGATAAGTGTATCAGAATTCCATAGGAGAGGGGGAGAAGTGTGGGAAGAGGGATGAGTTACAGAACATGTGTAGAAATGATCATAGCAAATCCAGCTCACATTTGAGTATCACATTTATCTTTCTAAAGGACTTACATATTTTCCCCTCTTAACAACTCCATGAGAACAGCAGGCCAGGTGTCATCTTTCCTGTTTGATGGCTGCTTTTAATCTTTCCTGAGGCAGTGTGGGGCAGTGGTTAGGTGTATGGGCACTGGAACCAGGTGGGTGGGCTTACTCACCAGCCGTGTGACCTTGGATGCATTAGTGTCCAAAATTGTGAAGTCTGTTTCCTCACTTATGAAGTTTGGGTCATAATAGGCCAACTACATGAAGTTGTGGAATTAGATATGATGCTGGGTTAGCACAGTGTCTTGCACACTGTGAGCAACCCATAAGCATTGACCATTATTCTAATATTAGGTTACTTCTTGGACCTTCTGGTCCTGCTGCTTGAACATAGTGCCTAGGATTTAGCAAACCTCTGGAACCTTCTGATGTCTAGCAGCCTCATTAATTCTTGTTTTATCATATCTCTTGCTTTACTGCTAAACACTAGGAAAGGTGAGAAGACCTGGGGACAGGAGCCCTTTGCCCCAGCACCCTGGGGGTGGTATGGGCGTCTCCTGGTGAGTGTCATGCCAGATGTCTTGGGCCCTCCCTTTAGAGCCTGCTTTACTCCTTTCTGTGCTGGGGCAGGAAGGAAGCCTAGACCAACTTTGTTTCCTTGGTTGCCTTGGGTTTTCTTGAGTTATCTTTGGAATATGACCTGGTATAATAATAGGATGTCCAAAGCTGGAATGGTAGAGGAGCAAGAGATACATG